ATCTTAATTATTATATATTAGATTATTATAAATTTTCTTTTATATTTTATTAATATAAGAGTTATTATTAGACTCTTCATTAAAGATTGAAAATTTATTTAATAATTTAATAGCAGAAATTAAGTATAGAAGAATATGAATAAAAATAATAATTTTTTACTAGTTTAAATGTTCAAACAGTGAGGAGAAGATCAGATATCAACTAGTTCAACAGCTGCTTTACATCAGTCATTGTTCAATACTGTTATACTTCATACATCATGAATGCTCTTCTGTATACTGCAAGTTTAATTTTCAAATTTCAGCATTTAAATGTAGAAAATAGATTCTCTCAACTTAGTCTGAGAATTAATGCTTGTATTCTTCTGTTATTATCATTTATTCTTCACTTATGTTAAAACTGCTAACTGAATATTATCCTCTCAGATCTGACTATAAAGTTATGACTTTCTTCTTTTCAGTAGATGATCTAATTACTTTCACAATTTCACCATCTCTTCTTATTAAATCTTCTCAGCTCATTAATTTCTTATTATTCCTCAAGCTATTAAATCATGCTTTTTCATATCTATAATTTCTTCATCATAAGCAATAAGCTTTCTATTTCTTTAATAATTTATTACTGAGTTCTTTATCTTTATTTCTTTAAATTTTCTTTTATGATTTTATGTGATATGAAGAATAGCTCATCAATACTGTGTATCATCATCTGTCAACAGCAACAGTGAGAAAGTCACAATGAATATAAATAATAATGATGATGATAATGATGATAGCAATGATACAGTCTTTAATTTCAGCAGAAAGACTGATCTGACAGACTCAATTGATTACAGAAAAGACAGCAAGAATAATATCAACAATCTGACTAATCTGCTAGCAGATGACAAGCATCTTTCAGAGTACTATATACAAATAGTGACTGACTCAGATGAATTCTTACTTCAATATAATGAATATACATCTCATTCTCAGAAGCTACTCAATCACATTGAGCAGAAATGATTTAAATAAGTGTCTAAATTCTCATCTGACTGCAATTTCTTTCTAGTCTCTAATATATTATTCAGATTCTACATCTGTGTCAAGTAAAATTCTCAAGAAGATGTATTAGTGAATGAATATAAAGATGTTATACACTTTCTTTCACTGAGTGCTGAATCAATATTGTAGCAAGAACTTGAAATAATATCAGAGACTCAAATATCACAGCTTTCTGAAAATATACTGAAAGATCTTCTGTCTGATCTATGAAAGAGAGATGCAGAAGAAGATTAACAGAGAGATATCATTAAAAGTGATTAAAAATATATACAACTGTTTTTTTCTATATCACTCTCAGCATCTGAACAGATTCTGTCTGATGACTGAATTGTTTCACAGTACTGACCCAGGGCCTACTTGTGCTCAAAATGATTTCAAAACCGATACAGCTGTATTATCTCAAGAAGAGACATTAGAAGAAGTCAGTTGTCTATCTGTTAGGCTCAGCGCCCTACCAAGGCCCGGCGCCCGGTTAGACTTGACCCGGCGCCCCACTGGCTCAGCGCCCGACCGAGCCCGACCGAGGCCCGGCTGGCTCAGCGTCTGTAGTAGTACGGCAGCCTAAGAGTTCAGCTTTTGTAAAGTTAGTCTCATGAAAGTCATGTATGACATGTGATGATTCTTTGAAGTTATAAGCAGAGTATTATGAAGAATTCTCATCAAACTTCTTTCAGCACATCTGATACTGCAGCTTGTTTTGACTTATTCAACTGATTAATATATAATCTATTTCTCATTCATTCTCATCATCTATTTCAATTGAGTCTGATGATCTGACAGTTTGACTATATAGAGAGTCTCTGAAGTTCTTGCATAGTTTATCTAAAGAAAAGATTGAAATAATCTTCATTATTGCAGAGAAATTCAATTTGTAGACATTGTTGATTTTTTTAAAAATTCTGAAGAAGTCTGTATTCAACTTTGTTAATTTACATATTAATCAATTTATTTTATATGATTTCAATGTTAAATAAATGAAATCTTCTACTGCAAAGTTAAACTTTTGATAATATTTACCAATCTGTCTTTTTATCTATTTCTATACTATTTTTATATCTTTACTTGTCTATTTTCAAATCTCTATTATTCAATGAATGAAGCTTCTTACTACTTCTCAATTTTTTTTCTCATTTATGTTCAATTTCTCTATCAGTGATTGTCAGTCAAATGACATTCAAAGTTCATATTCATTTACTGCAAGAAAAAGAAAAATCTCTGTAAAGGTATTTAAAATAACTATAGAGATATAATTTATAACAAGTAGTCATTCATCTCAGTTATTTTGATAGTAACTGACATAGAGATGAAGATGAGTGATAATGTATTGAATCATCACTTCTGTCTGTTTATTAGTTTATACATGATGTGCTATAGAGAGTTTTAGTTTTATGCTCAGAATCTGTATAAACTCATCTTAAAAACTTGATATGAACTAAAGATCTCAGTCAAAGATAATTGAGTCAAATATTATATTATATGAATAGTAAAATTGAATGAATAATCAGATCATTTTCTCAAATTGTAACTTTTTTAAATGATTGAAATAAATATTATCTTTTTACTCAGTCAGCATACTATGATTAAAATGATATTATAATCTGTTTTACTTTTCAGCACATTCATGAAGTTCATTATAATATGCTGTCATGTCTGTTCTGATATTGATAATAACTTTAGCAAATCAGAAGTCTTATCTCTTTGAATTTTACTGATCTGATATATATGATAGTTCTGAATAGAGCATAGAACATTAGTCTGCCAGATGGTCTATCAATAATGTGATTGCATCAGAGTCAAAGTCTTTTATTCTTCAGAATATGCTACTGAAGCTTAACTATAAATTTTCTACAGTAGTTTAACTATTAGAGTTTTTTTGTAACAGATATCACTACTCTTTCATTGTACTGTAGAACATTGTCTTTCATTATATGGAGATTATTCTCATCATCTGTTTGCTATTGCAAAAACTTAATTAAGATGACTATTTTATATAAAAATACTATATATGTAGTAATGCTCTCTTTCTCTGAGAACTTGATGCTAATAATATCTATAGAGAAAGTGATCTAAGAGTTAAAAATTCCTAATCTAGAAGAATCTGCATATAGTCATTCTGTTGTCTTTTAATCTGCTCAGATTTGCTCAATGTGTTTGCTAGCAGATTGATGTTGTCTGATTAATACATGATTTCAAAGTAGACATGAAAAAGAAACTCTGCTCAGTGAGCTTAATGTGCATTCAACTTTTTAATAGTCATGAAGTATTTCAGTGTATGATGATCAGTAAGAATCTTAAATCATTTCTCTTATTATAGTTTCTCAAGCTCTGTCTGTTATTTTTATAAGACTCAAATCACTATTAGTATTTTCTTATTATGAACTTTATAATTAAGCTTTGTATCAGTCATTGTCTTTGAATAAAAGACTACTAAGTGTCAAAGATTATTTTTAAATCTTTCACTTAGTATATCAACTACCATTCTAT